GCTCTCTCACGCTCAGACTAACTTCCTCTCCCGATCCATGGCGCGCATCGACGCCAGGATCAGTGAGCTCTCTCATGCTCGGACTAACTTCCTCGCCCGATCCCACGGCGCACATCGACGCCAGTATCAGTGAGCTCTCTCACGCTCGGACTAACTTCGTCGCCCAATCCACGGCATGCATCGGGGATCAGTAAGTTCTGTCTCAATCCAATATTCGCGCCTAAAAACGTCTCGGCTGCACAACAACACCTTGGTTGACAAAATTCCATCTCAGACTAAAAATACGCACATACGCCCGCTAAAACAACACCCCCCGGATGGTTCTGCCCGAACCACCCGGGGGCTACACCCGCGGGTGCGCTCGCGCGCACCCGCCAAACAACAGAAAAAACCTCCCCCGCTAACAACACAGAAAAAACCCCTAGCCGGTTCTGCCCGAACCACCCCGGGGCTCAGGAGCTATACCCGCGGGTGCGCTCGCGCGCACCCGCCGGCAAGACAAAAATCCCCGGGATGATTTTGCCCGAATCGGCCAAGGGCTCGGGGGCTCCTGTCGGGTTCATAAACCCGGGGTCCCTCGGGGACCGGCTTTCATGCCAAGGCTCGACCCAAGAGTCTAAAAACAACAGGACAAAGGAGCTATCCAGCAACCGACCGGAAGGCCTGGCCCAAGAAGAGCAACGCCCGCTCGTTAGCTACTTCGGCCCACCTATCCGACCAGAGCACTCGATTCGGGCTCCAGCCGCCTCCGGACGGCCTCTCCAATCAGAAGGCCTGCCCCGAGCCCTACTTCCGACTCCGACCCCGCGTCTCTCCGACCGGGGTATGTAAGAACCTTGCTCGCCGCTCTTCTCCGACCGGCGCAACCTAAGTGGACTGGGGCCATCCGACCAGGGACGCCCGCTCGGAAGGGACCAGGGATGAACGGAGAAAGCAGCACGCGAGTCGAACCACGGTACAGGGACCATACCATGTACACCTGCAGGAACAGTGTTCACAACCACCCTAACACAAACAGTATTGTAGGCGCCGACATTTATCCCTACAGTATTGTAGGCGCCGTTGGACTCCCATATGGCAAAAAGCCCCTCACATGCCTCTGGGCATCAATAGTGTTGTAGGCGCCGGGATTCACCATACCCGGTAAACGTGGTGAGACTCCTTACATGCCTCTAGGCATCCAGCAGTATTTTGCAGGTACCGACGTCAACCCTTCCTGAAGAAGACAACGCAACCTCCCACGTGCACCTGACATTCTACAGCGACATCAACAGTGTTGTGGGCGTCTACCATTATCCAATCCTCATCGGCGTGGGCAACAAGGCTTAAAAGCATCCGTACCCTCTCCCTCTCACCTATAAAAAGCCATCCCCTTCATTTATAAAAGGGGATGCACTCCCTCCAACAAGGAGGACGGACCGATTCCAGCTGATCAGAGTTCCTTAGATCGATAGTCCACAACCACAGAACCGTCAGGTTCGGACCTCAAGCACCCGCTTGAACACTTAGCTCATAGCGAAGTTCCTGTCACTCTCGTCCCTTCCGACCGAAGCCGACCGGACCTCTTGTACACCCCATCTTTCTCCTTCTCGTTCGTAACCCCACTGCAAACTTCGAGCATCTGGGCTCAGCAATAAAGTCACCGACCGACCCGGACTGGACGTAGGGCACGTTGCCTAAATCAGTATAAATCATGTGTCATTGAGTGCTAGGCCACATCCGATCACAACGTGTAGTAAAACTACAAATATTCACTAGTTGGTCACATTCTACACCGACACTATTTGTCTTACTAATCAAATTGCTCTCGTTGATTTGTAGAATTTTAAATAGGCTATTCACCCCCCTCTAGCCATATTAGGACCTTTCAGAGGTCCCACCTGCCGGCGCCGCGGGATCGCAGACGTGGGCAGACGGACGAACCAAAATAAATGTCGCACAAAAAAAAATATCCACGCTTTGTTCTTTTTAACTGTAGGAGAGGAGACTAGAGAACGCCGGGTATCCATCGGAGCACCATCATCCCTATCCTTAATTCAGCTCCGTTTTCAAAGGACTTTTGGCGAGGCAGCAATCATGGTGAAACGGTTGGAAGTGAAAGAGAGAATTCTTGGCAGAAGCTGAAACCATCGGCAGCATTCACCATATCAATCTGGTGACGGTAATTAGTTTCTACGCAGAGAAATCGCATATTCGCTTAGGCTCTTGGTTTATATGAGTACACATGCCCAAAGGATCCTTGGACCCATGGATCTTTCACTGACACGGCAATGATGACACTCCTTTGATTATTCTTATGTTTGTTCCGATTAGAATGTACAATCGTTACAAAACTTGATTCCGCCCAACCCTCGGCGTTAACTGATACCACCTCTCAATATAACAGCTTGCTAATGGCAAAAGCTCTCAGGGAACTACAACGTAGTTTTTTGTTCTCCAAATTACTTAACCTTGTTCACTGCAACGGTAGAGATGACAAGTCTGAAACTGGAATGCTGTATTAGTGTTTTTGATAGAGTGTGGTTTGGCGGTCAGTGCTTCAACTTCATGGTAATGGTATAATTCCGCATGCATGATCTTTGCATCCTTTCTTGCAGCTGAAACTGCTCAAGAGTTCAAAAAACTTTTAGGAGATTCATTCAGCTGAAATTCTGTCATACCTGAAGGTGTCCAATCTTTTGAGATTCAAATGGTACCACACTCTCAATCTCAGAGCCTTTATAGTGATGGGAGGTTATGTCCATATTAAAAATCCAGAAGCATTGTTTTCGAATTGCGAAAAATTGCGGCATTTGTTTTTGAATTGCAAAAAAAATTGCGGGCTCTAGACTTAAAACAAAGAAGTCTTATCGAGGCATTGCCTGACGTGGTGAGTAGCGTCAAACTACTACAGCATTTAGCAATCGGTGTTGGGGTACAAACCAGGATTCATCACACCAATTCTATGTTTCAGTTGTACAATCTGCGGACGCTGGAATTGAATTTCAAATTGTCCACTTTCCCCAAGATCGCATTAAGACGAATCAGGAACCTTATTAACCTTTACGCTTCGCCAGAAATACATATCAACAGGTGTTGTTGCATCTGTAGCATTAGAGAGTTGATGAACCTTAAGTCCCTAACAGAATCAGGAAGCTATTTCGATACGGACTAAGCAGCTTGTCTCGTCTTGAAGACGCAAGCATCAAGCAACCTACTGCGATCATATAGTCAGCCGTTCCATGAATGATAAAAGCATTGTGCTTTTAACACAACAAAGACAATAAGATTCACACAATCCAGAGAAAGCTTTGGTACAAGATAAGAGGAAACAAAATAAACTGAAGCTTAGTGCACTAGAATATCAGAAGGGCAGGTCGGACAGAAATAATAAACAAACAAAAGAACAATAGGATTCTCCGCAAACACCCAAAAAAAATCAGATAAGATTCCTCGTTCCAAATATCAGAAAGATAAACAAACCAAATATCAGTCAAAAGATAAACAAACAAAAGAACAACGAGATCAGATAAGATTCCCCGTTCCAAATATCAGAGAGATAACCATGCTTGGCCAGGCCTCCCCATGACCGTGGTCAACTCAAATCAAACAAAAAAGGTGTCCGCATTCAACATAAATAAATTCAAAAGAAATGTCTAGGTAACAGCAAAATTAAAGCACAATAGCAAACCAGGAAATTAATTAGCAGCACTATGTTTGTTAGTGCATGGATTAACTTGACAATACAAGTCAAGAACTTGCACGTAAAAATGAGCCCTGTTGAACAAAGTGAGGGGGGGGGGGGGGGTTGGGACGAGATCTCTTTGCCCCCTCAGACAAATAATCCACCTAGATGTGCATGACTAAAACATATATGAATAAAACATGAGAAAAACTTCACTATGCTGAATGATTTTGAAATAACAAAAGCAAAAGCAACGAGCCAAAGAGTGAATGAAACAACATAAGCAAAAGCAAATGTTGTATCCATATTCTGAGTTTAGACATACAAAGCAGTAAGACTTTGCCACAAGCATCCAGAAATGACTCATCTCTCTCAAAGCTTCTGAGTTTTTTTGTGACACATGCTAGTTAATGAACACGGCCAACAAGAAAGTAAAAACAAGCTTGACTTTCTGCTGCCCAGTTCTACTAATCCTTCTAAAGATCAAGAAAAAAAATTATCCCTTCAATAGATAAACTGAATGATAATAACAGCAATGTCAACTGTAAAACATATGTTGACTTTAGCAACAGCACAATATATTAACATGCTAATGGAAAAACCCTCTGCTTCTCCAAGAGTAGCAAATTAGTTTTAAGTCCTAAACTATGAGCATATTATGACCAAGCAACATCAGGAAAACCAACAACCTACCTACCCACACTGACAGTATTAATAACTATGCTTGCCAAAGCCTCCCCATAACTGCAGAAAACCAGGTAGTAACCAACTTTAATCTAAAACACGAAAGATGTTTGTCTCTAAAAACATATAAATAGGCTAATAATAAAAGCACAATAACAAAGCAGGAAATTAAGTGGCCCTAGGCAAGTTACCACATGGATTAACTGGACAACAGACATCGAACTTGCGGGAATAAATGAGGGCAGCTCAGACTGAATGTGCAGCAAGCATTATGTATCACAGAGAAAGGAACCAGCAAAATTCAAGGACAAACCAAAGCATACAAAGACAACCACATTGGCAAGGACACCAGTGTGGATTATAATAAACAGTCTCCAATAGGTCCTTAATTTGAAATGATCACATACATCCCATGGATCAATAACATAGATGGTCTTTAATTTAACTAAAAGAACACAAGAGGCCTATTTGACTTAACTAGATAACATTGGGCCACACGATAACATTAGCTAACCATCATTTAAGTCATAAATTATTTGACTTAACTAGATAACATTAGGCCACAAACACAGCATATAGACCTATATAGCATATATAGACAGATAAAACAGAAAGCAAGGCCGCAGACAGTGTATGATCGCCATCAGTCATCTCAGTTGGTGTCGAGTTCCTGGACCTCCACCTCATCCTCGCTGTCCTCCTCGTAGAAGTCAGAGAGCCGGTCGCTGAAGTCCGAGTCGACCAAATCAAGACGATCAGTCATGGGCACAGACCAGCTCGACATCCACTGTTCGTGCTCCTCCCTCTCTGCGACAATCTCTGCGACAAACTTGTCGTCCACAAAGACGCACCCGTCATTGGCGTCGTACTCAGCTCGCAGCCAAGCCTGGTACTCGAAGAACTCGTCCCTCACGGCGTTGACCCACTCGACGCAGTCGGGCCCGAACAAATCGGAAGGGATGTCCTCCCTCCTCCGGGACAGGACCCACTGGACCTCCTCATCCGGCAGCTGCCACAACCCATTCCCCACCGGAATCAGCACGCCATCTCTAGTCACATCCGCACCAGAGGGCTTCTCGATGCAGTCGATGCAGCCGGCCTTGACCACTGCACCAGAGGGCTTCTCACCGGAGGACTTCTCGATGCAGTCGATGCAGCCGGACTGACCGTCTGGGGCCAAGCATCCCTTCACCGGACTCGTGCGACCGGCCGCGGCGGCCTTCGACGAGGCCGGCACGAGCCCACCGTACGGGATCGCCCGATCGACGGGCACATTCACCTCGACGAGATCTGAAGGGCAATCCGGACCTTCTCGCCTGCCGGAGCGTCCGCTGGGAGCAGAAGGAGCCGCCATCGCAGCCAGCAAGCCCCACCGAACGTGTAGTTTCTTATGCCGGCGATTTCGATTCGCGTGGCTGGATGGATCAACGGGGATTGATTGTGTGGTGGGACGACTCGGCGACGAACCCTAGTGCTGCGGTTGTCCAGTCGGACTCGGCGTGCGAGTCCGGCTCGGAATGGATGCAGTTCGGCCTGGTCCGACCAAGATTCGTCGCGACCGCCGAACTGGCCCGGCCCAAAGCATGAACTCCTCCTCAAAATGGGCCAGCCCAATTGCGGACAAAAGCAACGCTTTTTCTATTTGCTCTGGCCTGGTAACCCTTGGATTTTTTTTTTACTACTCCCTCCGTCCATCGTAAAATTCTAAGATGAATTATGGGGTAATAAAAATGATACTTGTAACCTTTCTTAAACTATATATAGAGACTCTGTGCTTACTATATTTTGAGTTTAATAGTAGACACTAATGGTAGGTACATATGTGATGAGAGCTTTGGAGAAGTTAATAATTCACCTAGAATACTTTATATTTTGGGACAAATTTTAGAAGCTTTACTACGAGGAAACAGAAAATATGCCTGAGCATTGCTACGAGGAAATATCATGGGTTCTCGTCAGCCAAGCACAAAGCCTAACTCGGCACGGCACGGTGGCACGCCGTGCCCTACCTGGCCCGGTTTGGTCAGGCAATCTGTTCTTTGCATGGCAATCTGTTCTTTGCATGCCGTCGCGCCTCATCCATCAATCATGGTTGGGGCCAGCGAACCATGGCGAGAGCCTGTCAGCCTGATGATGTCTCCGAGGTCAGCAAACGCAGCCAACGAGAACCGGGTCCATGTGGGAGGGCAGTCACCGAAGAAGACCCCAGCAGGCCGAGCTGGAACTTGACGGTCATGGGCCAGGACAGGATGAGGTGGAGGCAGAGGTTGAGCATGGCGTGATGAAGATGTTCTTGCTCTGCGCCTGCAAAGGACCAGAAACATGACCGGGATGTACTAGAGTGAGATGGTGCTGGCCACCACAGAGATCTCGGGGTCCTGGCCCAGGGCACCGAGTTGTGGCTCGGTGAAGACTTCAGGACCTTTGTAGGCATGTTTGTTTCCCTAGCCCAGGGTGGCCCGTCCTTCCCACCCTAGCCAACCTAGGCCAAGGCAAGCCACACTGGTGCAACTGGCCCTGTTTGTTTGCCTGGCCCATGCAGGGGCTGGCTGGGAGTGGGAACTTGTTTGTTTGCCTGACCCAAGTGGCAGGTTTCCCCAACTTCCCAAGTGGGAAGGTGTTTGTTTGCCTAGACGGCTGCTGGTGCGCCAGCAACTGCCAGCAACTACCAGCAGCGCCAGCAACAACCACTGCAGCAACAATGAACAGCCCCAAATTGACAAGTTCAAACTCAAGATTAATACCACAAGTGTACCATTACATTAGTAGCTACCTAAGCCCCAAATTGACAAGTTCAAACACAAGATGAATACAACAAGTTCATAAGCTGAGCTTCATCCACAAGTAAAGCACATAGACTAGGAGTATAACAAGTAATACATTCTTGAGTGACAAAGATGGAGGAGGGGTTGGATTATGAGAGGGCAAATCATCAGCACCACACAAGAGATGATTTGAATTGTTTGTTGAGTTGAATGCAGCCTGAGCATCAGCATAGGAATTGTACTTCTTGTATGAATTACCAGGGAACCGATTCACCTGGTCATGGCACTCAGCCCAACTGGAGTAAACTCTAGGCTTGTGGCCATTGAAAACCACATACTATGACTCATCTCAGTTCTGCAAAATGGAAGAAGTTGACTTAGTTTAGTTTGCAGATTAAATAAAATGAGCAAACTAATATAAACATCATTGGCAGCAGTGTATTATATGCCTTAGTCATGTGGTTGATTGTCACAGACCACCATTTCACTTCTTGTGGCTTCTCCAGGTGATTAACCAAACTAGAATTTTGTTTAGGCAAGAGGAGAAGACGCAAGAAGCAAAGTTTTTGGCCTGCATTCTAATCCATCCAACATGGAACACATCACTGGCAAAGATCAATGTTGGCCTTAGATTTATTGAAATTCATATGTCATTGTTATAGAATCATTGGCGGCACTGATTAAGTCAGAAAAAGATCAAGGCAGAAAAGAATCAAGCACTGGGCAATAAAACTCAAGCAATGGACAATACAGACTCAAGCACTGGACAATACCAAAAGGGTGTGTTTGTTTGCCTGGACATAACAGTTAGCAGCCAACAGACACCCCAAGCTGCAGCATAGAAAGGAAAACCAAGAAGAACTAGATCAAAAAGAAGTCAGTGCCACCTCATCATAGTATATCATGATCATAGGCCTTATCCCAATTCCTCTCCTTCACAACCCAAATGAGAAGTCAAAAAACCAGTTCAGTCTTGGTGAATGGCTGCAAAGCATGTGACATGCCCATCCTCAGTTGGCAACATGACCATATATTTCTCACGATGTCAGTTGGGAATGGACGTGTAACATGGTGTTTCTAACCATTAACCAAAAGCAAAACAACAGAGGTAATCAAATAGGCAAAAAGAAAACTGTTTAGTTGTGGTGAATGGATGTACATCATGAGATACACCCATACTCAGGTAGCCACATGATGCTACATGACCAAATCAAGTAGTTAGTTGGGTATGGATGTATCTCATGGTGTGGCTAACCAGCCACCCAAAAGCAAAACTTCAAACACAATCCAATAGGTAAATAGGCAACTACTACATAAATAGTTCCAACCAGTCCACCATCACAAGCCTTACCAATTCAAGTACTAGTAGTCACAGCTGCCTTCACCATGATCAAATATTACATAAATATGGTTAGACACCTCCCAAATGAGAAACTAAAATACCCCCAAAAAGACAGGTGCTACTAAGTCAAGCTACCTTGCTACACAAAAGGCCCTAAGTCACTGCACAAAAGATTAGGGGATGAGAGTGGTTAAGGAGGGTGGAGAACATATAAGGGTTCTCAACTGCTTCTCTCCTCTAGCTTGATGTAGAGGTAGAGTGTAAGCATCCTAGATGTAGTAGTGCTTGGCCAAGAAGTTCCTAAGCCAGATAACCCTATGGCTGTCCACCATGTCTTCAAAACCCTTACCCTGTACCTTGTTGTCCAGAAGGTGGCTGAATGCCACAATCAAGTCCTCCTCTATCAAGCCAGGCATGTCCACCAGCATTGGCAGCAATACCATCCCCATTGCCACCAGCAGCAGGCAAGGGTTGCACATTGGCACCAGCAACAGCCATCCCAATCCTAGGCACTAGTGAGGCAGCAGTCACAAACCCCTCACCAACAACACCAACAGCACCATTGACATTGACAGAAGCCATTCTAAGTAGTGCAGCAAGGTAACATTTAACTAACACATACACCATGAACAACACATAACCAGCATTCAATCAAGAACCAACAAGATAGGAACCCATTAGTCTCAGCATTATCCATAAAATACATAAATAGTCATACACACAGTTCATTAGTTCCATAAAAAGGCAGCTTGAATTATATAATTTTATTACATAAATGTGGTTCAAGTCCTAGTAGTGCCCCTATTGGCCCACATGCTAGCAGAGATAGCATCCCTCAAAGGCTGCTATCCCACTGCTGTCCTAGGACTACAGATGATTAACAGGTTCGTTCCCTAACACAACATGGGGGTTGGCTGTCTAAGACTTCAGTTGGCACAACTTCATCAATGCCAAAGGTCAAAATCCAGTTATGCAAAATGCAGCAAGCTAGGACAAGTTTCACTTGGGTCTTGTAGGTGTGGAAGGGCTTGTTGTCTAGAATACGAAACCTATTCTTCAAAGCACCAAAAGCATGCTCTATTGCCACCCTTAAGGAAGAGTGTCTCAAGTTGTAGAGCTCCCTCTCATTACTAGGGTAGGTTCTGCAACAAAACTCAGACAAATGATACCGCACACCTCTGAAAGGTGGCATGAACCTAGGACGACATGCATAGCCTACATCAACTAGGTAGAACTTGCCTACAGCATTAACATGGATTGCAATCAGTTTGTGTTTGCTGTTCAACAATTAAATTACTCATATTATTAACAATGCAATTACCTTCTGGTACGCTCAACCCATCCTGTCTCTCAATAGCATCCGCCAGTATCAAAGCATCACGTGCTGATCCCTCCCACCCAGCCAACACATAGGTGAATTTTAGGTCAAAGTCCACAACAGCCATAACATTTTGAGTGGGGTTACTCTTGCTACCCCTGAAGGCAGCCTGCATGTGTCTAGGCACCCTAGCCAACACATGGGTGCCATCAATAGCCCCAATGCAGTCCTAAATAGCATTTAGTTGGAACAAATTAGGTGTATGTCACTTATAATCCCTAAACCAGCAACTAATGAAATAAGGTACAATACCTTGAAATATGGGTTCCATCTCTGGCTCTCAAAAATCTTAGGATGAATCTTAGGCCCTGGTGGCTTGATCATCTCACTCCTTAGCTCCCCAACAACATACAACACTTGGTGAAAATGGCGGTGCACAGTCTCTATGGACCTTCTAAAACTCTTGTGGACCACCCTATACCTTTGGTTGTGTCCAACAACATGGAGGGACATAAAAACTTGTTCCTCAACGCTTGCATTTACACTGTCTAGCACAAGACCCCTCTGCCTAAATAGATTACAAAGAGCAAAGAAAGGAGCCCTACTCATCCTTAGCATGGCAATTCACTCCTTATCCGTGGAGTTATAAATTAAGTCCAAGTTTCTCTTCCTATGCTCATTTGCTAAAGCACTAGGACCATAAACTATGGGTTCATCCTCACCCCTCAGTCTCTTAATCCTAGAAAACAGAAAAGCCACCATGACCACAACCATTGTTGTAGCCTGACTGACCATGACAGAACGCTGGCTGGCTGGATCCATCTACATTGAGTTATTAAAAACAGTTTTCAGTCATCAGGCATGCCTTTGTTGGCCTCTAAATGAACTGCATTCATAAACAAATGGACAAAAAGTAGCAGGAACGGCTG